TCGATGAAGTTACGGAGAAAGCATCAAAATTTTATTGCCTCGAGACCATGATATCAACGGAGTTGCAGATGACCAGTATCCGCGTATCGAAGGCGAGTGCCGCGTTTGGAAAGCGGGAATATCGGGTTTGAAAAAATCATTAATTAACCGTTGGGACTAGCTGGTGTTGTACAAGTCGATACTATTGTCGATTCTTCGTTACGGCAGCGAAACATAGACGCTATACTAGGACATCCGATATTTGCAGCGCCTTCATCAACGATGTCTGCGTCGGATTTTGTTCATCCGTTGGTGTGACAGAGTTCCAGACACGGAGGTGCTCCGCCGAAGTAGCATGTAGGGAGTGGATTGCATACGCCAGCTGCAACACCTGAGGTGCCTCGAACATGTCCACCGTATGGATGGGACCAAGATACTGAAGCGCCTACTGTATGATCAACTGCATACAGGAGAGCGGAATGTGGGAAAAGCGAAACTATGCTACCAGGATATGATCGTGTTTACCACGAACTAAGGTTGAATTTAGGCGTTGGAAAACAGTTAGGTCGTGGCCAGTAGAGTGATCACACCAAGAACGCTATTGTCTAGGTGTAGCAAAAAGTACCGATGCAACAGGAGGAGAAGCGCTGGTTGCGCAACCGACAGGCCCTGATGGAGCCCAGCCCATCGACGTCAAAATCCTGGCGCTGTAGCTTATGCGGTCGTGCATGTCTCAACCGAGCCTCTGGTAAGCTATTAGAGTGGTCACAAAAGGGCTAATGTCGAAGAGGTGATGAGCAAGTATTATCGAGTTTTGGAGCACAATGGCCAAGCGATCATAGCGACAGCCACAAACCACTATGAGTTCCATTACCAGCTAAGGCTATCTCTTCCCGATGAGTTCAAACAAGGACGAAAAGCGTCGTGGAGTGATGGGAGAGAGCAATACTGAAATCCTCCAGGCGAAGTTGAGTAGGCAAATATCAGTGTAGCGCTCGGCAAGTACGCTATTTCCGATTTCATTTACTAACTTGATGCAATGATGCAACACGTGTGCATGTAGTTATTTTCTTGTATTTTAGATGTTTTCTTACTGATATCCCCGGGGTAGCTAAACACTTGATGTGAATGCTGACAAGGTGCCTACCCGTCGAGACCCGCCACCTCGATTACTCGCTCCAGGAGACCGTTAATTGTTTGCTTGAGGAGATGGGGTGCAGTCTCTGTGACAGTGCTAGGCTCAAAGAGTGGAAGAGGCTGCGGACCGGTAGCCGCCCTGTGTACGTCTGACATGAATATTGCCTCCTGTTCAAATCAATGATATGCATGCTGAATGAGTTCGGGCCGGCCCCTAATCAGTCGTGGCTCCAGTCTACATGCCTCCCGGTCTTATTCCTTCGGGTTTACACTGCATATGGCCATTTAGTGGGCGCAAGCCTCCAGTGGCTGTTCGCAGACTCAGTGACCGGCAAATCAAGGAACCGCATGCCGCCAACCATATCCTAGCAACAGTCTAATGCATAGACAGAGGACCAAGCAAAACCATAAAAATCAACGGATGACACGTACTATCGTCAGAAGGAAAACGGGACATTTTGTGGTTTTCACATGCCGCTTTCATTGTTTGGCGTTTTCAAGTAATGAACATTCGAATCCAAACAATTATGTACACAAATCTTCCACTGATTTCGGCGGCGCGCTATATACCGAAGTGCTTCGAGCCATCGTCACTCCCCTTTGGCTCACAACCAAGCAGGCCTGTGCATCCAAAGGTGGTAAAAGGTGAAATCCGCGATTTATGCACTGTTGTCAGGTGGACGGCTGACTTCCGCATGGTCTCTTCCAACCGACTATTGCATGAATGAACAGGACACGGCTGGACGTATACAGGACATGACATTACCAATTTAACTTGCGCAGCAAAATCAGCTTATTGAATAGAACAGTGGAACAATGGAGTTATCACGGATAGAAAAGCAAACGATCAAGATTTTTCAATAAGTAAAGAGCGCGATCAAAATGGGACGAGTCGAAATAAAAAGAGCGTAGCGGCAAACTTATCGCAAATTTCAAGTGTGAACATTCTTTGCTTACGTTGTCGCGTCTCCCAGTAACTTGAGTTAAATTATGCGATGCAGGTGGTGTAACGCCGCATCAAGTCGACTTTTGAAATCGTACAAAGTAGGAGCAGTTATGAAAAGAGGTGGCTAAAATACACGAAATGAGAAAAAGTCCCTGGGGCATACTGTGTCGCCAACTACAAATGTTGACCCCCCCAGTGAGGTGTGGTGGTTGAGTTTCAATAAAGGCCGGCACGGGTGGTTGGAATCTTTTAGGATCAGATACAGGAATATAAGATCACCTCGCAGAAGATGATACTGTTCATTACATACTACTAGAGTCTTTAGTCTCAACTGGTATGGTAGATGGAGCAATCCCTTAACATATTTTGTTGTCCTTTGTTGTGACTTCTCAAGTGCAGTGTGGTCATGCTTCTGCTAGGGGTGCGACACCTGAATGGCGTATTCAACGAGTGGTCACACGTAAATGTTGCGCATTTGCGAAAAGAATTCATGATCAAATCGATCAAACGTCCACCGCAGTAGGTCGTGTTGGCTAGATTTCTTCACTGCCATCTCAGTCTGATTTGAGCATAAGAGATCATTTTCATGAGAAACGCATTGCAGAACGTGTTCTCTCAGTCGATAATGGTAGGTCCTCTGGTGGCGTATGCTCACTATTTTGCAGTTGGCAGAGTTAAACTCAGACATGTTCTGAGTCGACCAGTGTCGAAATCACCTCGGAGTGCTATCTGGTCGTCTACTCGTTTGATTACCATGCAAATCTTGAGATCATCTGCAAAGAGTAGAAAGTTCGACATCAAAACTTGGTCCTAGTACAGAGCCTTGAAGGACGCTACAATGAACCTCCATCGGGTCGGAGAGGGTGCTACGAATTTGCACACTCAAGTGTTGTTAGAGTAGGAAAGGATGAATCCAGCTTAGGATAAGGTGACCGATCCCGTAGCTCGGAAGCTTGTGAAGAAGAATCCGGTGATCAAGGCGATGAAATACCTCCGAGAAATCAAGGTAAGCGGCGTCGACTCCTTCGTCAGCATCCACGGATTCCGTCCAGCTAGTACGGGCTAACAAAAGGTTCGTGGTATATGAGCGGCTCTGGCGGAATCCATGCTGCTCTTGCGCGATATGGCATCTTTCTAAATAACCCACAACTGCATATACAACAACAGAATCAATAACCTTAGTAACTACAGAAAGAAGAGTAATCGGGATGTAGTTTGCTGGCACTGCATGACTGCCTATTTTGTAAATTGGCGTGACTATTCAATATTTCCAGATTGTTGGGACCTGCATCTCGTCAAAAGAACACTGGAAAAACAGATAATGATTCAGCTGAGTTCGTGGTAGCTACCACCAATGACTTGGGGTGTATGCTATCCGGGCCAAATGAAGTGTACTCCCATAGTGAGATATCAGTCGTTGCAGAACATCCGCGGTTGTGAAGGTGATGTGGCTAAGTCCTGGTGATGATGTGAGATGTGTGAGAATGAGACGTCAATGCGTTCTGGTAAGTATAACCGAACTGGGGTCCGAGAGCATTAACTGCTTCTGGGGGCAGTTCGCGCTTGCCCACAGACGGTGTTTAGAGGAGGGATACCGCGCTGTACATTGCGAAGTTTGTTAACATGCCTGTAAAGTTGTTTAGAATTGTAGCGGAACTTCCTTGCCAAATCTTGTTGGTGTCTCAATTTATCTTCGTGGGTCAGTTTGACACAACGACTTCACTAAGTTATGTAAGCAGGCCAGTTTCCGGCATTTGGATAGGATTCGTATGCTTTCCAAAGGGAACCTCTCAGAGGCATTCGTTCCGGCGTCCCACTTCTCAAGAAGGACTTTAGTTTCTCTTAGCTAAGGGTGTCTGATGCGTTTGTCATTAAGCTGTTGAATTGACTGGCAAACTCTCCCCTAATAAAGACGCAAGCGTAGCTGAATTTGGGAATAGAATAAGAATTGATCGGCTAGCAAATACCAGCCCGCGTCAAAGGAATAGAACTATTCCGTCAATATGATTAACCCGTGGGGCGGAACTCACTCACACTGGCTGAAAACCAGACGCGGAATAGTGAGCGACCAATAAATAGAGTTAACCTATCCTGTAGATATACTCTCTCTCTACCGATTTCTGGCCTTTGTATTCCTTCGGTTGGCTGGGCGCGTGACTGAGAAGTCAGAAAGTCGCAGTATCATAGGGCAGCTAGCAACAGTATAACAGTGGTTAGTGGCAGAAGCAGAGAGAGAAAGCAGAAGCGTTACAACACCTACAAGCGACATCAGGGGGTTGTTCCATTAGAATCGACCAATCAGTGATTTTAATGAGGTCGGATAAAAGGCTGTGATGTCTTATTATGCGGACGACTTCGATTTCCATGCCAGACTGTTCAGCGCAGCAGACGTAGCGGAAAAGCAGCGTTGTATGATCACTGCGCCCCAGGGTGCTACTCACTGTCACCGTGTCGACTATAATTGCCACATTGGTGAAGACGAGGTCGAAATGGCCGGTTTATTCCCCGTTCTGAAGCTTGTAGGGGAAGTAATGTCGTTATGGAGATGCGTTGTTGCCACCACATACAAGCAATCCTCCTCAAACACTCGTTGGCGAAGGCCTAGAGCCGGCGCATGGAGCTAACGCGAACTGTCCACAACTCTCCTCCATTGCAAATTCAACCGTTTACCGAGAGGGAGAAATAACGACGACAGAGCGGCTTAGAGTAAAGTAGGGAGGAGCATTAGGAACGGTGCTGTCAACAGATTTATACGGACCGAAAGAAAACACAACTGGCAGAAACAACAACGGGGAGCGTGGGAAGACACTTGCAACCGGTGAATTCCAGAGAACTTGATAGCTATCAGATAAGACGGCATGTGCATTGATACTACTCTTTTAAACCATCAGATAGTGGAAAGTTTGCAATGCAAAGGAAAAGCACTGCCGAAAAGTACCTGGGCAAATAAATCGTTGAGCTCAGCTATGTGCTTCTGAGCTATATCTTCCACTTGCGACAGCTGCAACTGTACCTCAGGGGGCATACAGGCTGAATCCTGTGATGCAGACGGTGACTCGACAGTGTGTATCTGAACAGAAGAACTCGTGATACCAGTAGGTCTGTCTAAGGTGTCGGGATGATGCGTATCCGCCATTGGACATCCAGAGGTGCCATGACTAGTGGCCAAAGCACATGAAGGCGAAACGGTTGAGGCATCTTCAACAGCTGACTTGTCCTGACTTTGAGCAGGTTGGTTCAGGTCAGATGGACCCCGGAATGACGTGTCACAACCAAACTGAGATAAGACAGCTTTTTTCTTCCGTTCAGTGTCTTGCATTATGAGGTCATTTAAATAGACCTGAGTAGAAATGCAAAGAAGGAGAACAACAAATGTGACTTGAAGCATGTAGTGCCATAACGAAAAATGTAGACACAAAAATGAACAGCAAATGCACGCCAGACTGTCCCCAGTTGGGGAATGAGAAAATAAACGCGGTCAGGGAGTGATGGACAAAGGATCAGAAATAAGGCGGGAGGGAGGAACAAGAAACCTAGGCAGATAAGCTGCCGCTTTTTTGAACCACTGAGTCCGGTACCTCGTCGTCAAGCGAGTCGGACAGTGTACTGGCCGATAAAAATGAAGAACCTGATAGAACTGGAGGGGATCTAGCCCGTTGGACAAGGCCACAGTGACAAGTTAGAACACCGATTGACAACGAGCACCTGGGAATCCAGCGGAGCTCTGACAGTTGTTCGCTTACTCCAAGATGTCAACTCGCGCACAACATTCCGACGGACGTAAGCATTTTACGCTTCATGGATTGGGCTAAAAGTGACAGTTCCAGTTCCATAGCAGCTCTCGAATCGCAGGCATTAAAAATAAATAAATGTTGAGTCTAGCCTGATGTGACACAATACCTTGATGGACAAATTCATCAAGAGCGCAACTAATTACATGGGTAAGCGAACATAAAATCAGTAACGAACTTTGCTTAAGCTCACGAGAACATTTACCTAACAAGGACTGCGCAGTCAGGTTCTGGTCTGTTCTCCGAGCTGAACACTTTCTTTGCAGACGCTTCAGCAGCAGTCGAGGTGACTTCGACAGTACTTAGTAGGTAAACTGAATGCTTCGTCGACCCTTGATCAATGAGCGAATGATGTTTGAACTTGACCGATTCGATTCATGTCCTGTGACCACGGTTAGCTAGTAGTTCAGTCGCCGTCTCTTTCAGTCCCATGTGGTGAATGATCTGCCTAACTTCGTTCTCTCGCAGTTGCTGGCAAACGGGCGACCGAACTACGAACTAACAATGGTCATGGGATGTGAATCGAAGCGGTCAAGTTCAAACATCACTCGCTCATTGAACAAGGGCCGATGAACCATTCAGTTTGCCTACTACGCAGTGGCGAAGCCACCTCGACTGGAGTGAAACGTCTGCAAAGGAATTGTTCAGCTCGGAGAACAGACCAAAACCTGAATGGACAACCCGAACTATAGGTATTCTGATTAATTGCAAACCTAACGCTTGTTTAAGTAGGTAAAGATGATTTGGAGTGCGCGTAGCGTCGATAATGTAAACACTCCAAATAGCCATCTGTTAAACAACAGAAAAGGAGAGGACAAAATAATGCATCAGCGATTCAAATATACATTATGAGATAGTCTTACTGTTGAAGAGGGATGAAGGGGGCACCGAATGTAAAACACAAATGGCCCAAGGAAGCATTCAAGATCAAGGTGCTTCTATCTTGCCAGAACAGGATGCTTACAGAGTGACAGCGGTAGGACAGTGACCCTATAACCTGCACTGTACCGTACCATAACCAATTTTGTCTCACAGAAAACTCCGCATCACACACATTGTACACAAGTGATCCAGTTAACAGATGATAATAAACATGTCACTGACGCTGACCAGCTTCACGACAAATCCTGAACTGTCTCGAACCAAGTTCAAGCTGGGTTGTGGGGGCTTCAACACTCACTCCACAGGCCGATGCCAGCTGCACAACCAAATATTGTCATCTCGAACTATGCGCTATTTAACATCAAGCGTACAGGATAAACCATTTTTCAATGAGCGGTAACCAAGGATGCGTAGCAAGTGCCAACAAACTAATTTGTTCATTGTTGATTAGAGGTCACCCGCGCATCTTATCATTTAGGCAACATTGGTGCTATCAGACACAAGGTATACTCAGTATAAGAAATTGAACAAAGACTTGAAAGTGTTTAATATTCTAAAACTGAAGATCTTAAACGCATAAATGTTGCGCTGAAAGCTGAGGCAAGAGATAGGGCCGAGGACAATTCCCAACTAAAGGGAAGCTAGTGTGCCTGAGTGCGCCTCAGATTTCGACACGCGTGCGGTAGATAATGCAAACGGAGTGTGACCGGTGAAACGATGCACCAGGAGAACTATGAATAAATTAGATGACCAGCAGGCGCCACGATGAGCAGAAGAATAACTCAGTCAGTAGGTCATTTACTTCATTCAACCCAACGTAATGCAGAGTTCAGTGTGACTTGGCTAGTTCACAATACAAAACCCCCAACTACAGCGACGAAGTACATCACCTTAACCATCTCCGTCCATCTCAATATGACAGCCGTCCTTAAGTCTGTCAACCTTAACACTCGTTCTCTTTTACCCAAATTGGATTTGCCTTTAACCATCGTGTTTATGAAAACCCCTGATATTGCTTTTTAGTAAGGAAAAAGTGGTGCACTTCAGAAATCAGCTCAAGTTTTTAAGCTATCATCTGCTCCACAATGACCGTTTAAATAAACGCGGCGGTGGTTACGCCATATACCTTCAGAATGATGTTGCGTGAATTCCCTTTGATCAGGATGTTCCTAACGACCTGATTCACCATGGGTGGCAATTTCATCTAGTGATCTTCTAGGTTGCTCCGATCCACCCAACATGAAACGTAACGGCTAAATGATGCGACCAAACCTGCTTCCCATACCAAAAGCAAGTTCATACTTATGTGCACAGATTTCAAGTTGCCACATGTTAAATGGACGTTGCTGCCACTTACAGCAATTACAAGGCTAGGGGAACAATGTACTGTATCCATCTCAGTAACTGGACCCAAAAATGTCAGAGATTCTACCAGAAGTACTCGAGCTAGATCCCTTAGGCTTACTGTTGTATCGGGCCCCGTGACGGCTTCCATCCATTAACAGTAGTGAAAACACGAAGGAACAGGAGCAGGATTCCGGGTTCTATTAGGGAAACGACGCCGATCTATAGCATGACGCGTAAATGTAAAAATCAACCAGAGCACTGAAAGCGTGCGAACAGATGAAGTCAATAGGAGTTGAACAAATAAGGAGCCAATCAGATGCACACGAAGAACGGAAAGTGACAGTGTTAGGTCAGAGCGAAACTATCGCCTACGCCCAAAAAAAAACAATATCTAAACAGCTAGTGGGGCTAGCGAAATGATACGTCAAAACAAGCGTTAGTGAATCACCACAACAAAACGAAAGTATGCAGTTATGAACGCGAACAAAAGTATACGTGCACTTTTATCGCTCATCTAACGCTTCCCTATTTAAAAATTACTTGAAGTTAGGTCCCCATAGCTCTTCCGACAAGGAGCTTCACCTGGGTTCACTAGTGCCCGCGACCACAATGCTTCGAGCTGAAACCAGGACTACAGTGCCGTTAGCAGAGGTAACTTGTGAGCACGCGAGCATTTGGAACAAGTATGGCCAATATTGTAGACCATAATAATAGTTTCAGAACACACGACTCGGTGGCTCCAAGAGTAAAGCTAACCTCCCAATCCAATTTGTTACGGGTAAAATAATGTCGGTACAGGGGGCTAGGTCGGTATTTCCATTGAATTTTAGATCCCTGATTTTGAGATCACAGGTGACTCCTCTGTCCAGTTGCACAGCTTCTCCTACTACACATTAAATAGTTCGATTCGTGAGTTTAACTGACGATTTGCCAAAGCTTGTCCATGTCAATCGAGAAATGATTCTTATAGCAGACAGATTAAGTTGCAGCGACACCGGAACATAGCTGCGTTACACTGTCAGGTATTTTCTCTTCCCTAACAACTATGTGCGGAATACTGCAAAAACCGCTTTCATTAATACATTGTGAAACCTGGTTTTGTTGAGTTTTGGGCTTGATTGATACTTTGGAGTATGTATGCGTCTGAAGTCAGTTGCGTTTAGACAATGATGATTATGAGGCAATCCTGCAGAATGCCAATCATCACAGTTCCAAGTTGGGGGGGGGGGTTGCGGTTCAGCACATTTCCGTTTGCATTTTGGCTGTGCGATAGACGACGGAGTTCTTCTCTGCAATCCGAATTTCGACCATATTAGTGTTGTTTCAAGCGGAGCAAACACTAGCATTCAGATGTGATTTCCTGTAACACAAGCTTCGGTTCTTGTTCCAATTCCATACAGCATTTGTGACAGCAACTCAATTAATTGCCGCTGTGACTTTTCAAACTGAATTTGCTGCCGCAGAAGGAGGGACTGCATCCGCGCGAATGAAATGGCCATGATTGTTTATCCGTCGGTAGAAAATGTGCCAGACCACGCGACTGGTTTCATCCACTAACGGTAGTGAAAACACAAACGAGTAGGAACAGAATTCGGGGTTCTTCTATTAGTTATTTAGCATACCGCGTAAATGTAAAACGAAACAAAGCACTGAAGCGAGCGAACAGACAAAGCGAATAAGGATCAAATGTAATAAGGAACCAATCAGCTGCACACAAGGAACTCAAATTGGCAGGGTTGGCGTCAGGGTGGAACTATGATCCGTACCCAGAAACAACAACACCTAAACAGCCAATGGGGTTAGCGAAATGATACAGTAAAATAAACGTCAGTGAATTGCCACAACAAAACGAAAGTATGCGCTTATGAACGCGTACAAAAGTATAGCTGCATTTTGTACGCTTCTCTAACACGTAGGTAACCACTGATAATCCTCTGCCGGGTTGCGACAATCACACAATGCATTGCAGCATGACTAGTAAGTCATCCGAGCTATGGAGTACAATGTTGATACTCATTCGCAACATTCATCGAGTTGATTGGAATGCATTTAACGAAGTTACCAATACTATGGACTGGGAACGATTGCTCTCAAGCAGTAACAACTGTAGCTACCAATGAAGTAGTCAAAGCATGGAAGTGCGGGCGAAACCTTTCGAGGGAATACCTTGCATGGAAGCAGGTCCCCTGGGGACGGTTCCACGAGTGGCCGTATTACTTTAACTAGACATTTGTTTAAATCTGCATATGTTATTGTTCCTGGTTTTTTAAAAACTTCTTTGATACCTTAATCCTGCCAATTAGTTTAATACCTGTTTTGGATTCATTGTAAAAAGCGTGAACAAACTGATTATTTTTTGCGATCCTGTTGTACACATTGATCAGACTGCACCTCGAATCACCGAGGAATATACCAGTTATTTTATTTTAAAAATATTGCCATCAGTACAGATGCACTGCCATCCGTCGTATTGTGAAACATCTCTAAGTATTGTGGTCATCACAAGCTCCCCAACAAAACTGCAGCTAAAGTGAAGAGGCTTAAAACACTGCACCGCAGAACGAATAGCTTCGTTACACTACTACAGCTACGGAAGGCCTTATTGCAGCTACAATGTGTATTCCAAGAAGCCAAAATTGCCGAAGAAAGTGGGGAACTTAGAAAGCATGTAAAAGTACAGACACGAACGCAGCCATGTAGAAGAAGAAACTGTAAACCGAAGCAAGAAATCGAAGCCCTGAGATTGTACCACGGCTCGTTAACGCGCGACATCTTCTGTATGTGTAACTCGATCAACTCAAGCTTTGTCTCATCCTTTTTGTCATAGATCCACAAATTTCTTATGCCCCATTCTCAAGAATAATGAACGAGCTACTCTGTACCATCCAGTGACATGGAAAGAGGTGTAGAACGTCAGCGAATCCATAAAACCACCACTCTATCCGGGACCAGGTGGCACCCCCTCAGTTATCATAAAAGTCGGTGATAAGAATGTACTACTTTGTTGTTAAACATCTTCACACTTTCGATAACAACCGGCTGCTTCCCACCTCAGTGAAACACTCTATCATAATACCAAGACACAAAGATGACCTGTAAAATGGAGTGTCGAGGAAACACCCGATAAATCACACCTCTACTAGATTTAAAGTCCTTAAAAGGACATTCGAGCACACTGTTGTCCAACTTCGTACACGACAGGACCTAGTTATTCCCCTACAACATGGCTCCTGCCAGCTACAAAACTTGGATCACATTACGACCATGAGTGACAGAGGAATGGCGGTCATCTAAATTCTCCTGGTCATGCAAAAGGCGTTCCACAGTGTGTCCCACAAACTACTGTTGACTGTGCCCGAATCTTAGGATATTGGGAACATTCAGCTTACTTACTTACTTACTACTTACACCCAAACCAATGGACAGCAGTGTTTTCAAGTAAATGTGGTTGGGTCACTACTTTTCCCAATCTATATAAACAATATATACGGAGGCTCATTTCTGTTTTAAGTCAAATCAAGTCAAGGTAGGCTCTGTACACCCAAACAGGTGCATTATCACCGTTTACCCCATCATTGCGTATACACTAAATGAATGGGATCAGATAAAAATACACACAGATTGTACAAATTAAATAGTTAAAAGCAAGTGGATATCATTCAAGCAACCGCATGCGCAAAGTATTTGGAACTTTCGTAGGGTCGATAAAAAGCGTGACAAATAAGGCAAGATTGTGTTACGATACGAAGAAGTGCAAGAGAACAAAATCGTAAATTTTGTGCGTGTGTGATAAACAGATAACGCTTGTGAGAGAGCATTATGTAGCGGATGAAGGCGGTCACGTGGGACCTTAGAAGAAAATTCATGCAAACGTCGAAATGCTCACGAGCAAAAAAAACAAACAACAACTATGGAGTCACTAGGAAAGCCACCACATATGGGGATATGTTTAATCGATCGAACAAACAAAACGTAATCCTTTTGCAGTAGTCCACTACAACCAGTGAGTTAGTATACAGGCAGTTACAAATCCCAAAATTAAGCTTCGCGGTAAGGAGAACTTAAAAAGAAGATAAGCTTCTGATCTTGTGAAAGGTTTCCAAAACGTGCATGGACCAAGAGAGGTTTTGTGAAAAAGAGACACCGAGACATTTGACAGTGGGTCCTCCAAAGTTAATAGAGGAGAGTCATCTAAAATTACTCGCAATTTATCAGGGCGTAGAAATGAAAATGTTACACCAGTACAATTTAAAGCATTAAGGTTAATGGTCTGTTCAATTCTACCAGGACAAGTGCAACTACACCTGAAAAACATACTTGAAGACTTATATGCGTTGAATTCATCTGGCAAGAGCATGTCAATGAAATTATCCGCAAGAAAATCCAAGATACTTCGATACAGATGCCGCAACCCGGAAGCCTCTATCACTTTTGCATGTACTATAATCCCAAACTCTGATTCGGTTCAGGAACTGAAAAGCAGACATCCTAACTACTTAGAGTTCTCAGAACATATCCTTTACCAAGTTAGAAAAGCCGGAGAAAAATGCGGTTACATCACAAGAACGTTCTTGCTCGAGACAGGAATTCAGCTATGCAGAAACATCGTAAGACCTACTGCAGTAGTGTGCCACCACTAAAAACATATAGAATAGCCTAGGGAAATGCCCGAATATCATTTACTAAGCTGGTCATGGGATACTGGACTACCATAATCATTGTTGTCATATCAGACCGGATCCCCTATCCTTCAACATTATAGATAAGCTGGTCTTCGCAGACAGCACTGCAGTTGAACTGCAGAAAAGCGCCATTTATCCCACCGGTAATAGGGGCTAATTACTATCCTCACAACCTGGAGTCAGAAAATCCGATCCATCTTCTTCTTAGTGAGATATGTTAGGCCATGGAACCAAGCGCCAATACGGGTACGCGCGAGTGCATACCTTGCCACATTCGGAACAACTACATATACTTTTCCCATGATACGGAATATGTTAAAGACACTTGGCTCACGGCAATCTGCAAAAAGATTTAGGGAAGCTGCAGTAAACAATATTTAAACAGCTGGATGACTACAGTCAACTTATGCTTCCCTCTTACTAGTACCGCAAACGATCGAGTTAAACGACTTCCAGTAGCAGACGAGCAACTAGCATTAAGATGGATCCGAGGTCAAAGGTTATAAGCAAATGGGTGGATCATAAACAAACGATCGGTATGACAAGAGATGTTTAACTTTATGATTCCTCGATTCTTTCACAAGGATCCTCCCGAGTGCTGATCAGTAACTGCAGAACGATCAACTGTATAGATTCCCACGCACATTATTTGAGGTCTTCTGAAACGTTTATGTATGAGGTTGGACTGAGCGTAATTGCTGTGGTACCTCCTATGTGCAGTTTTCGTTACCACGATGAAGTTGCAGTAACAGATCAGGGATACGTGCTGTAGATATTTCTTTAGAGCTATGTATTAGATAGAGGAAGAGTATTCTGAAAAATTTGAAGCAACTACCATAACCTGGTTAAGACTCCATGACAGTGTCATGTGGGGGGAGAACAGTCCCCCCACACACATGTCATAGGGTGGCGGATGAGTCGAGATGGATGGTTGAAGCCATGGAGTGGCATACGTATGTACCAGACATCATCCTGCACAAAAGCACTCAAAGAGTTCCGGGTCTTGGCAGATGAGTTGAACAATGCTGTAGGACTAAAGCAAATAAACACACTCATCATGAAAGATAGATACGTTAGCAAATAAGAGACAAAACTAGGGCGCAAAAATTAACGGTAGATTGGAACGTCAGGAGAAGCCCGTTACATATAGTGGGAAGACCAGTAAAAGAACCGTTGGAAAACCTGAAGAGAGATTTCTTGTTGTCGCCGTTTCTCGTCCAAAGCCTCGAAACGTTTTCGTTTGGCTAACCGTATGACCGAGGTGATATCGTCGCCAAAATTACGATGTTGCTCGAGAGCCAGGTCATGCGCACGGATAAGCTTCGCTAGTGCTTCGTCCCATTGACCAAGGCCGAGATGAGCCTGGCCGGCAAAGAAATATGCCTTCAAATTTGACTCATCCAGTTGGATGGAGCGCCTGAAAGGAGACCAATAGGCAAAAAAATAGTCGAGGTGGATGAGAGGATCGGTGGTGTGCACTTCGCGAAATATATATATATATATATTTATATATTTAACACTTCGCCAAAGAATAATTGGCAGAGTACCACAACACATGGGCAACGGTAGGAAAACGTAAGAGGAGAGAAAATGTAGTCAGGGGAAAAAGTCTCGCAACAGGATCGCCACTGGGCACGAACCCAGGCCAAGTCCGATAGCGTATCCAACTAGGTGTGTTCACTGCCCTTGGGCCCCCAACCTGGGAGTTTGGAACGCCCCACCGCGGTTAACTGCAATGGCAACGCATTGACACTCCGGATCCAGGTTGCGTGTTGGCTACCTCTCCATCGCTTCCAACCAACACCAGCGCATGCAAAGTGCGGCGGGATAAGTGTTGAACTGGTATACGGAGGACGTGCCCGAGCCACCAGAGCGCATGGAAGGAAATTATGAAGCTCAGTGGTCAGCGGAGAATGTCTGACTTAAAGACCTGAAGTCGAACGTCGTCATTCTAAATGCGATGCTGACAACAATGCTACGGAACTAGCGGTGATCAAAAACAGACAGTCTCTGGACATCGCTTGTTCGAACAGGTCAGATCTCGCAGTTGTGCAGGAGCATTGCTCGCACTGTAGCGTTGTAGACTCGTGATGTGCAAATTGATCTCATCCGTCAATCCGCTCATGCTAATGCAACTCACAAGGTAGACGAATTTGTCGACTACCTAGAAAAAGAGCCGGAAGGGGTACGAGTAGCTTCTAACCAGTCCTGAAGGAAGACCTCGTACTTGGAAGGGGCAAAACTGTGATACAGACATCTCCAACATGTGCAGCATGTACTGAGCAGCCTGCGGGGAGTCATAGGTTACGGTGACGTCGTCAGCATACTCCAAGTCACTGAGCCAGTCATAAGGGAGTAACTCGACGTCACTAAGCCCACAGCTTCTCAGAGATCTTTCTAAGATGTCGCCCATGGCGAATTTGAACAAGAAAGGTGATGCACGGCAACTCTGTCTCACGCCACCAGTGATACTAAAGAGAGGCGAAAATCCTCCGTACACCCGCACTCATCCCGAGAGTAACTAGCTAGAAGTAAGTTAACATATTTAACGGGCATTCCACTCCTCAGCAGACAACTCCAGAGAGCAGCTCTGTCAACTGAGTCAAACGTCCAGGAATCAAACGGTGTTCGAGATTCTGGAGGACGGTAAAATGTGATAAATACAGCTCCGACAAGGACGAAACCCAGCCTGTTCTTCATGTATGTGTTGTTCGCGTACTCGACTAAGCCTCCGTAAAGGCAGGGATGCACGCACTTTGGATGCAACACAAAAAGCCGATCCCTCGGTAGTTTGCGAAATCGTTCGGCCACCTCTTTTGAAGATGGTCACGATGTCCCCTAAGCCCCAATCGGATGGGATGTTTTCTGTGGTCCGCAATTGTTGAATGAGGGTAGACAATTCAGAAAGGAGGGACGAGCTTCCATGCTTAAAACGAACCGGAGGCAATTCGTCGGGACGGAGAGACTTGTGGCGTTTCAGAAGACGAAGCTCATAGTCAACCCCGGCCTTAGATGGTGGAGAGGTGCTTACACACCAGGGAACACCGTAGATACGAAAATGGCAACTCAATGACAAATGTGGTCGGTTGAACTGCTGCTCCACGTACCAATTGACGCTGATGATTGTGAAATGATTCAGCGCCGGTTTCACATACCACTTGGTTTACAGTTAGTTTCTTACCACCGGTAAATCGGATAAGAGAGCAGAGTCTGCGAAAGTTCCCTGAGGATGCAACTTGTTCCATCTCGATGACGCGCTGCGTCCACTAGGCTTCGCGATCTTTTCTGAGAAGCTGTTGGAGCCCGGTGTTTGCAGTTTTGCCAATGAGTTATGCACAACACCGGCAGGAATTATCCCACGGTATTTCATCAGTTGAAGAGATTAAGGAAAAATCTATCGGTTGATGGTGTGCTTAGCGAAACCGCAGATGACGCTGGTGGACTTGCGTATAGCACTCCGGATGTGTCCACTGCGTCTCAACATATGGGAGTGGAGGGCTGTTCAGATTAGAAGCTAACGAGTTCTGAAAGATACATCTAATATATTTACCTATGTCAAGCTGTTTCCGAAGACGCTGTTGAGTGCCACTAAAGCGGAGGGTGAGTTTACCACACACAAGTGCGTAATCAGAGGCGAGAGAAGTACTCCAAGTTGATTTGCAGTCCGTTATTCAGCCTCACCAACGGCAATGGCGATGTGGTCAATCTGTGTCCATAGCTGCTCAGTGGTTGTGAACCAGGTGCCCGTACGCCTCAAAGTTGACACTGTCTCAGACATCACGCTCATTTCCGAGACAACTTGGAAGAAAATCGGTGAGCTACCTGTTCAAAAAACAACTCGGATTACGACCAACACTTCAGGAGAACCGCTGAACGTAGACAGTGAAATCTACAGTCCTGTAATGTTCAAAGATTGTCAATTCATAGGGGTATGCTACATAATAATCTAAACTTACCCGGTCTCGATTGGGTTGAGAATATGAAACTGCTTGATGTTCCCTTGAATTCCGTGTGCAACAAAGTGAGCGACGTATCTGCAAAGCGTAGGGAGTATTTGCAGCGAAAATATCCGCAGGTGCTTCAAGATGGTCTGGAATTGTGTACGAGAACCAAGGCCAATCTTTCCCTGCAGCCAGAAGCAAACCCAGTCTTCCGACCGAAGAGACCAGTTCCATATGCAGTGGTTTCAATCGTCGACCAAGAAGTTGCCAGACTACAGTCAAATGGAGTTATCAAACCGAAGAATTTCTCTTCCTGGGCAGCCTCCATTGTGATTGTCAAGAAACCAAACGGGAAGGTACGCTTATGTGCAGATTACTCTACTGGTCTGAATGCCGCCTTAGAAGATCACAAGTACCCTCTACCCCTCCCTGAGGACCTTTTTGTACGTCTGAATGGTGGAAAGTGTTTTGTCAAAGTGGACTTGTCAGACACATATCTCCAGATTGAAATGTCAGAAGAGTCGCGTGAGTTGCTAACGATTAACACTCACAGAAGACTATTCAAGTATACACGCCTACCATTTGGCGTTAGGTCGGCCCCGGCAATCTTGCAGCAGATCATGGATACGGTGCTACAGGGAATACCTCATGCCGCTGAATACCTGGACGATAACATTAACATGGGATGTAACCAGGAAGAACTACATCAACGAACGGAACTCGCGCTTGACAGAATAAAGGTGTATGGTTTTCGCCTACGAATGGACAAGTGTGGGTTTTTCATGACCTCGATTAAATACCTGGGCTTTATCATTGACCAAAATGGATGAAGACCTGATCCATAAAACATCAAGGCGATAAAGGAAATGCCTGCCGAAAGACTTAGCGACATTGAGATCATTCCTAGGTATGGTGAGTTATTACCGTACCTACCTGCCGTCCATGCACGACCTACGCGGACCACTAAACCGGTCGATGGTAAAGGACGTCCCGTGGGTCTGGACTACCGAATGTCAGGAAGCCTTCATCATCATCATTATACACGTCAGCTAAAGGTGAAAAACACCTCAGCTACTGTGCCGCAATAAATAAATGAAAAAGAAAAATATATATACAAAAATTGCATGCCAGCTGAGCTACCAGCAACGAATAGGCATCGTTCCGGTAAGCTACCAGCCGGCTACCAGGCAAAAAGAAAAATTATTATGCAAAATTATATTACGCTAGGAATGAGATCGCGGTTGGAGGGGGAGGTTAAAAGGCATGGGGAGGGACAAATAAACTCAGAGCACGAACATGCCACTGAGGTCGGCTCCTTGCCATGTCAGCAAGTGTATCCACCCAAACGTGTTCACCGTCTTTTGGACCCCAACCAGGGAGCCGTGACGCTCCAACCGAAGCCAGCACAGAAGTGAGGGACTTCATTCCTCTGGACTAGGTCATCGCTTGGCCACCCCTCCACTTCTTCCATCCACATCCCCGGTGAGCAAACAACGCACGTCGTGGAAGTCGATGTGTTGGCATGCGCAACACGTGACCCAGCCATCGGAGCCTCGTACGGGAAATGACAGTGCCGAGCGGTTCTGCCCCTTTTTCTGTGCCGTAAACAAGGCGTCGAACACGTTCGTTACTCACGCGAGCCAAACTGCGAAGGCACCGATGTTTGAACGTAACTAGCCTCTTCATGTCCGCCGATCTTAGAGGCCAGGTTTCGCAACCGTACAGTAAGGTCGAACGTACCGCTGCATTGTACACTCCACCCTTCAGGGCGAGAGTGATATCGCGCCGCTGCCATAAGTGGCGAAGATTAGCAAAAGCACTTCGAGCTTTTGATATACGGTTCGTGATCTCATCTTCAATCCCACGGGCGCTGATACAACTTCCCAGGTAGTTGAATTGCCGAAAGACTTCTAGAAAATCCCCACCAAGGGTCAACCCAGGATGCGATCCCTGCCAACCTTGGAGCAACGCTTTGCATTTCGATAGTGCAAAGCAAAGGCCGAAGCGGCTGACAGCCAGTGCTAATCTGTCCAGCGCGGCAAGACATGTCTGGGAGCTGTCACAGATGGGGGCAATATCGTCCGCGTACTCCAAGTCAGGCAGTCGTTCTCCTGGGAGTAGCTCCACACCTTCCAAGTCATGTCCTGTAAATGCAATCTCCATGACTTCGTCAATAGCGAAGTTGAAAAGGAAAGGTGACATCGGGCATCCTTGTCTCACACCGCTGGAGATAGTAAAGGACGACGACAGCTTGCCGTAAACCCTCACTCTGCCCGTGCTACGCGCGTATAATGGTCGGATAATATTTACATATTTCTCGGGCACACCTTTCCTGAGTAGACAATTCCAAAGAGCACATCGATCAACCGAATCGAAGACACATTTGATGTCGAGGAACACGACTACGGTGGGCCGCCAATATGTGTGACGGTGCTCCAACAACTGACGCAAGGTGAAGATGTGGTCAATGCAGCCA